GCCCATTGTAATAGGCCACCCCCGAGCTCCCCACGGAGACCCCTCATGATTTTCTGGGGGATAAACCTGAAGCCTTTCAGATAATAGTTTGAAGCTACAGTTCTGGTCCAACCTACTTTTTACTAATGAGGAAACTGAGGCTCAGAGAGGCGAAGAGGTGTGAACAAGATCACGTAGTGGATTACCAGCAGATTCAGGACATGCGCCCTGGCCTGAGTGTTTGACCCAAAGTATCACAGACTCCTTGCTGTTTGCAAATACCGGTAGGATGAATTGATGCAATTAAAAGATACACTTGTCAGGGTTTTGGGGGTTGCAAGAATAAGACCCCGACTGTGGCTGCCTCAATCAGAGAGGGTACTTGTGGGAACGACAAGGAGAAGCTGGCAATGAAGGGCAGGGCCGGAGCCACTCTAGGATGCAGGGCAGGCCGTGTGGCTTTGCTTCCGGGATGTCGCATTCCCGCATCACTCTGCTAAAGATCCAGTCTCCAAGGGACACCATTCTATTGCCTTCCTTGGACGACCTCTCCGTTGCTGCTCACACCAAGCCTACATCCATAAAGGGAGGCAGAGTTTCCCAAAATGAAATGTTTGTGGAGTTCTGGAGAGGTCAACCAAAGCCACAGATGTCCACTGCAGAAAACCAGAGTGAAGGATGCTCTTGCAAACGCAGCCACCCCCTTCACCTCTTGCCTGGGCTCTAAGGAAGAGGAAAGTATATCATCTGTCGGAAGGGTTTTCCTGTTACTCCTCGTGGCACAGCTGCTTCTCCTTACCTGTCTCCCTCAGGGATAAGAGAACAGATAAGAGGCCAGCTGAGTGAATGGAGGGTTCCATCCCGTCCCCACCCTGCCTCCTGCCAGATGCCACCATTACCAGGCCTGCCTCTAGCATGCTAATGACGTGAACCTGCGAATCCAAGCCCGGACAGAGCACTGCGTACACTAGGGACCAATGTAGGGAGGACATGCACTCAGGAATGATAGGTCTTAAAGTACAATTCATAGAAGATCCAAGACAGAGGGAAACTCCGAAGCTGTCCGTGGCAGCCGCGGCCAAGTGCCCACACAATAGCCATTCTCCCCTTCTGCCTGGCTAACTGAGCCCCGAGTGTTTTTCATGATCACAGTGTGCTACGTTACCAGTGTCTTATAGAGGGCGATAGCCACGTGACCCAGCTCTGTCTGAGGACAGTCAGCAGAAGCAAGCTTGCCCGGGGTTTCAGGAAAAAATTTTCCCCCAATTAAAACAAAAGGGAGGGAGACAGGTTCGATGAGCACATGGTTTCTGCCCGTAGCCTTTCCCCCTCTGTTTCTGGAAAACAACAAGACACCTGGATGCTCAGGACCACCTAGGAGCCATGGTAAGGTTGCAGGAGCAGCTCTGCCCTGACCCACCGTCCTCTGACTTCCTGCCACTTGATAGGTGAGGTCACGGAGGCCTAGAGAGGCACAAGGACATTCCCAAAGTCAACAAACAAATCAGTGACTCAGCCGAGGAGAAAGAACCTGCCCCCTGACCCTGAGTCCAATGTTCTGACTAATAATATTTTTTTCAGAAGATGCAAATTATTTTCAAAGGCTGTGAAATGGCAAACTTACTATGTTTTTCAGCGACTACTGATAATGAGTAAATCATAATGCATGTTAAGTTTTTAAATTTTGTTTTAATGCCCAAAGCAATCAGGGCATCATCACCATGATCATCAGTATGATCATCTTCTTCTCATCAGACAAGATTGGAGCAACCCTGTGATTATAAGATAGCTAATTGCAAAGATAATCTCAGGCTTGAAGATTATTTAACATTCTTCAGGGAAAAGTCCAGACTAAGAGTGTGTGTGTGTGCGCGCGCGCGCACGCGCGCGCGCACGTACATGTACCCACAGGTAGGTGCAGGGAGGTCCTGATGGGGAACAGGACCCTTGCCCTAAAGGGTTAATGCCATTTGTGGCTTGGGTTCCTGGGATGTCGCCAAATGTAATATGCTTTTCCTGACAATGTAGCATCATAACATTTGTTTCTGCTCGGAGTGAAGCAATGCACATTTTGTGAAAATGACTTTGCACTTAACCACTCCACATTCACTTGGGTTAACATCAGGCTGCTGTGTTAACAGTCTTCGTGAGAAAAAAAAAAAAAATTCCAGCAGCTGGCATCAGGGTCTCACTTGTAGGAGTCACTCCTGGCAGAGCTGTGAGACCAACTGGGCTTTCACTTTTTAAGCATCTGCAGAGTGCCCAGCTCCGCGCTAAGCTCCAGGGGACTGGGGAGAGGCATTGTCCCCTCCCTGCTGGGAAGAGCCACCATCTAGTTCCAAGAGTAGAACCACCTAAGAGTTAAAGCACAAACCAAGAGTATGTTCTTTAACATGAAATATGGTGGAATCTCAGGAATTCAGGCCAACAGGAGATAAGTGAGGACAATGAGGATGGCTCCATCAGGGTCATTGGCTCTTGAATTAGACCCCTGGGTGGCCCATGTCAGGACTGAAAGAAAGACTGGGGGAAGGGCAAGCATTTCAGGAGAGCAACCAGCCTGAGCAAGCGTGGCTTCTCAGGGTTGGGGAGAAGCTGCTGGGAATACATAGGAAACGGGATTAGAGATGCATCCATCCGTCCGTCCGTCCATCCGTCCGTCCATCCATCCATCCATCCATCCATTCATTCATTCACTTGACAAATACTGAACACTGTGGTGGGCAGAATCATAGGTCCCCAAAGATGTCCATGTCCTAATCCCAGAACCTGTGTCTCTATTACCTTACATGGCAAAGTGGACTTCCCAGGCATAATTAAGTTAAGGATATTGAAGATGGTTAGAGTATCCCAGACTCTCTGGGTGGAACCAATGCAATTGCAGGGTCCTTATAAGTAAAGAAAAGAAAAAAAGAAAGCAGGGGAGTCAGAGAGATTGGAAGAAGCTACGCTGATGGCTTTGAAGATGGAGGAAGAGGCCATGCGCCTGAGACTGCAGGTGGCCTTTAGGGGCTGGAAAAGGAAAGGAAACGGTTCCTTCCTTAGACCCTCCAGAAGGGACTTAGCTCTGCTCGCACCTTGATTTGTAGCCCAGTGATGCCCACTTCAGACTCCTGACCTCCAGAAGTATAAGATAGTAAATCTGTGGTGACTGCTGATGGCGGCAACAGGACTCAAATGCAAGCACTCTTTAAGCGCCAGGCCTTCTGCCGGCGGCTGGGGCTACAACTGAAAGCAGGTTAGAGACCAGCCCCGACCTTATAGACTGGTGATCTTTGCACTGAATTGTAACGTACTAATCGCAGAGCTATTTAATTGCAGAGGGGAGATCGCTGTAGGGCAGAAGCTTTGGGCACCCGGAGAGTCTGTGAAGGACTCCTGCCTAGTGACGGAGACAGAGAAGGCCTCAGTGAGGAAGAGGGGTGCCCTGAGCACCAGAGCACTAGAATGGGACTAGAATGCTCCTATGGAATTGGATGTGAGCCGCCTGTCAGAATTTATATGTTCTAGTGTCCACATTTTTAAAAAATTTAAAAACCAGTGAAATTAACAATCTATTTTTTTTAAGATTTTTATTGGGGAATTGGGGGGATGGGAACAGCGCTGGGGAATTGGGGGAAGGGGAATAGACAAGATGCTGTCGTTTGTTCTTCAGTCTAGTTGTGGAGGACGTTGCTTCACTGGCCCAAGTTGGCACCATCATTGCACTCTCTCTGGGCGAGGCACATAGTCGCCGGCTTCTGGACGGCCGCTCACTGCAGCTGCTGGCCGCTCACGCTGGCTGCTGGCTACACACGGTAGCCCATGGCAACCC